AGAGAGAGAGAGAGAGAGAGAGAGAGAGAGAGAGAGAGAGAGAGAATAAGGCATAAGGCAGAGTGTTTTTATTTCAGCTTACCTTTGTATCTAATGTAGAAGGATGTCAAAGTCCCCTTAGATTCAAAAATGCCTTTTGGTTAGTTTCACTTCTCGTGGATGTTTGTGCATCATTGTACTAAATGTTCAGGGGTAAATTACAAGGCTGTTTTTAGAATTCCTACCCTGAACAAGGAAAATACAACTGTTAGGATATTCAATTAACAATGGATGAGTGAAAGAAGACATAAATACACTAAGGCTGTAGGTTTCCCCCTTTTTATCGATTAAACAGTCCCTAAATGAGTCAGTTAATGCTCTCCAGTTGCTCTTGTTAAAGTTCTTACTTACCAAACTCTGAAGTGGGAATTCTCCGATATCTGCGTCTTAAAGTTCCTCAGTAACTCTCAGGCTCTCAGAACAGAGAACATTTCCTAAAGCAGAGGAATATTGTTCCAACAGTGACAGTTCAGTCATCTCCAACAGCATCAGTCCTCTCTGTCACTGGGGCCAAAGTTAATGAAAAAACTTACAGTTGTGTGACTCAGTGGCTCCAGTCAGCAGTTCTACTTGTGCTCTCCTCTCCAGTACTGCGCTGAGTCTGGGTGTACACTCAAGAGTCTGCAGGGTTGATCCCTGCCCCACTCCTCCACACCCCGCAACCCCCAACCCCTCCTCTTTTTATTTAGAGGAGGGAGTGAGGGAAGATAGGCAGGATGTTCACGTTATTCATCAAAGTGCACCAGCATTAATGAAAGAAACGTGGTAAAATCAGTTCACAGGAGTGAACTGTTCACGCTGTGGTTTTGTGGTAGTTTATGTCTCACAATAAAAAATAAATTTATTAGGATTCCTACAGAGGTTCACCATCACAGTTTTATCTGGCCTGTTTAAACGATTTCTCCTCTAACTGTGCAAGTTATCAATATCTGACACGAAGGTATTTCATTTAATATATGTCCCCAACAGTTATATTCCTGTCATACTATCAGACAGCTAAGAGTCTGCACACAAACTCCAAAAAATGGTTCCATGAGTCTCAAACTTTCACCAGTGAAATTTGTTGAGAACTGCCACACACGTTTACACACAATAAAGTAATTTAGTGTCCAAAACAAAGTATTTTAATATCAGTTTGAACTTTAAGATCAGTAGTTCTATGTTTTAAGTTAAATTTTGTCACATTTAAACACCATCCTGATGGGTTGAGGGTAAAGATGAGATAAAGATGTTGCTAGTAGTCTTATAAAACCACTGTCTCTATGACACCTTTTGATACCAGTCTTGATATTGCCACCATGGGCCAACTTCCATCTGTGAAAAATTCCCAGAGTTCCTGGAGTGGCCACATGAGACCTAAAGCAAGTTGTTCCACATTGACATGTACAAATGTACAAAAAGTATTTAGTTTTGATATTGTACCCCTTTCATAATTTTTTGTGGCTCAGCCGTTTGGATTTTGTTAAAGGATAAAGTTGAAGGTGTGGCTGCTTTGATTGACATGTTTTTGTTGATAGACATACTAGGCCTTACTTCCACTTACACGAGTCACTCAACATGACTTCTTGACCTTGTTTATGGTGTTTGTGGCTTTCGGAGCATTTTCATGTAATTACATGTAATTATATGGTAAGTAATGTGACTTGCTGTAAGGCACAGACCGTGTGAGAAGCTTGTGCTCCAGTTTTAGTGGTTGAACCTATTATTTTTTAAATTTGTCTGTTTAAGTAGCTACTTATCAGTTATGTGCATCTGTGTGTCGCTCCCACCCAAACCCTCCATCCTATGCTGATATCAGCCCATTTGCACCGGCTGTTTTTGCTTTTTCTCTTTAACAAGGATAAACATGTTATGTCACTCCTCCACTTCTTTATTAATTTCTAAAAAAAAAAAAAAAAAAACAAAAACGATCTGGTTAAATATTGATTGAGTGATACCCTGTGTGAAGTGAACACGGTAACTGACAATTATTGGATAAGTCTCAATTTTTAAGATGTTAGAGGGACCATGGTAAATAGAAAATACACTCACTTTCACATATCCTTAGTTGGTATGCTGAATGTTAAAGTTCATGACAAAATTCTTGTTTGGAAAGGTTGCAGAGAGAAAGCCTCTAAAAAAGTGTTACATTTGAATAAAAACACAAAACTTGTAGAACAATTTACTTTGGACAGACGAGGCCAAAGTGGATATTTGGCCACAACGCACAGTGGCATGTTTTGTGAAAACCAAACATAGCATATCAGCACAAGCACCTCATACCATCTGTCAAGCACGGTGGTGGAGGGCTGATGATTTGGGTTTCTTTTGCAGCTACAGAACTTGGACATCTTGCAGTCACTGAGTCGACCATGAACTGCTCAGTATACCAAAGTGTTCTAGGGTCAAATGTGAGGCCGTCTGTTTAACGGCCAAAGCTTAGCCCAATTTTGGTCTTGCCAAAGTTAATGAGTTTGAAAACAGCTGTAAATCTAGAACAGAATGACTGAAAAAGACTCATGAATTGTGTTTTTTTTACACACTAATGTTGCATTTTGGCTTAGTTTTTGTTCAAACGGGCAGAAAAAAAAAAATCATTTGTTTGGGTTTTTTTTTATTACCGTGACTGGACTTTAGACTTCCCTTCCTTTCTCAGCTCTTGGGCCGAAGTTAAATTAGCCATTAAAAAACAATGAACCATAAAATACAATTTAAACCCATTACAGGAGAAACATATACAAAGGGAGTATTTCTACACTGTATCACACATGTTAGGCTTTACCACTTTTAAGTCATTGAACACTCCGTTTTGTTTCTTTGTGACCTTCTCATGTTGAGCCAAACACAATAAATAAAGGAGTTCTTGTTCTTGCTGTCAGGAGGTTGCCAGCTTATTTTCTAATGGGCATGTGAGGAGGGTTTTCGCATATGCAGTCCCCTGATCACAGTTGGTTAGATACCACAAAGAACACACTCCTGCTCATTTCCAAATTGACTTAGATGAATGTTGTGCTTACTTGGCTTGCTTTCACAGTTTACCCCACGGTACCACAACCAGGACTCACACAGATTGAGGTTGAGGGAAGGAACTGACAGTTAGGAGGTGGCAGAGCTTGGGTGGTGATAATAAATTAAATGATAAGTGGCATGACTTGTTAACTCTACCTTTGAATAATTAGGGAAACAATGAAATTACTTGTTTAAGTAATATCACAATCTCACAAGTAATGGTAAATGGACTGGTTCTTATATAGCGCTTTTCTACTCTGAGCACTCAAAGCGCTTTATAAATTATAAATAATGTCAAGTGAAAAATATTGCATAAATCAGGGGATGCAACAAGTAAACAGGATAAAAAAACAAACAAACGGAGATCACCATAAGTAGATGAAAATAGTACATTTTCTGCACAGTTGTTTTCATATTCTTACAAGTCAGGCTGTAAGTGCTGCATAAACAGATCTCTCTGCACTCCATACATTTGTACTTTTGTAAAAATAATTTAGCGGTTTAAAAACAAAAACAAAGGTTTGATAGGTAACATCAGAAAACTTTCCTATTGATTAATATTATTTAAAGTGCTTTCAATTATCCTGGTTATTAGTTTAAATATGCAAATTAGATGCTATTTTGTCAAGCCCACAATTTTTTTCTTTTACAGATATTTCAAGTAATGTGAAATAAAGAGTCATAGCTGTATTTTTGAGACTTTTTTTCAAGAGTCTTTAAAAAAATAGCCCTAAAACTCCAACTCAACTGCCTCTTATTTTAAGTAGTCTACATAAATACTTCTTTATCCGATTGTTCAGTCTGACGTCACTAGCCGTGTCTGGACCTAAACTCCGCTGCAGGTCCATATATCAAACGATCACTATGGCATTACTGAGAGTTGAAAAACTGTCTAAAGTCTTTCATCTTTAATAAAATGATCAGCGTTCTGCTCTACCAGGTGTAACAATTGAGTTTAACATCCAGGCATCCATGAAAACGGAATTTATGACATTTAACGGAGTTAGAAGTTAGCAGGGAGTTAGCTCGCTAGCTTCTATCTAAATACAATATAGCATGTCCTGACTGCGGGGTTCTGGAAACAAATTAAAACGTACAGCTCTGCTATTACTTCCAGCATAAATGAAGACAGAAAACTAAACAGCAGTGACGTTTGTAAGGTTACTGAAATTGGGCTAGCTGGTATATAATGATGTGCTACGTGACCGCTAGCGACACAGCTATGTTAGCATAATATAAACAAGCTAAGTGTCTGTGAAGGTTCTCAGTCATCCAGGTCATCGTAGCTCCTTTGATAAACAAGCTAACTTTTTTTCCACTCGATAAAAGTTAACGTGAGTGTTCTCGGTGGTCAGGAACAAATGTAATCACATGGCAGGATGCTGTAAAAGGACCAAACTTCAGCCAGGAGAACAACTGAGATAATCCATCCACAATACGAGGTTAGTCATTCATATACTGCTGCATGGGCTGGGCTGTAGCTACATCCTAAGGTTTTAAAAACTGAGCTTAAATAAATGATTAGTGGTAATAAAAGCCGAGGGAGGTCAACAGTGATCACTGACTGTTTTAGGAGCTTGTTGAGTCATCACTGAACAACCAGATAGCCTTTTACCCTCAAGCTCATGTTTTATTGTCTCTTATAGGCTATTAGTAAGAGGTTCTCACCCTCCTTGTCTAACTGTGACTCATGTCCCAATAAACAGATTTACAATTTAAAGCAAAGAGCATCTGAATCCTTCCTTTCAGCATTGTCCGTTTTTTTTACGAGAGCGTTCGGCATGTGCTGGTTAGTGTGTGGAGAACTCCTCTCATCTCTCAAAGTGGGTGTCTTTATTTGTCCTCAGGTCCTGTGAGGACAAAGGGCCGGGTTGTTTTTGAACAAGCAAAGATTCAGTGTCAACGTGAGGCCAGCTCACTAAGAACACAACACGACCTCTGAGCATGCTCTGTTAGATGCAGGACCAACTGATTACCAGCTGAAATATGTTTGTATGTGTCTCAGTGTGTCCTTATCCAAGAGGGTCAGAAAAGGCCAATTGGGCTTTGCTCTGAAGCCTTGCACACTATGTGATGGGTTTATAAAGAGTAATTATTTGCTGCTTTATTAGAGCTATATTTCAAGCTCGATTCATCAATTGTTTGTTTGTATTGAATATGCACTAATGCAGAAGCTGCGATGTTGGACGTGTTTTACCTGCACTGCATTATTTGGGTTACTTCATACTCTCTTGACCTCATCTATTCATATAAAAAGATGCTCTGTGTAAGAGAAACAGTGATTAATAAATATAGTGGTGTATAAACATCTGAAACCTTTACAAGGGAATGCTTTAAAATTAGGAGCTTCACTGGAAGCTGTTAAGAGTTCAACAAAGACGTGACGTTGTTCAAAATTAAATCCAGTATGTTTTTTTTATTTTCGTGGTCATCGTCATGCCACCTTTTGGTTCCACACTCTAGATTTCGATTTGTCGCATTAGAGGAGATAACAAAGCTAACATACCGGACAACTCAAAGATAATAAAGAGAAAACAAACTTCAGTGAGCCTGATCTGCTCAGCCAGTTTCTTTCTGGCTTGCGACCTCTGATGGCAAAAGCACGATCACCTTTAAAATTAGGCAATGAATTTCTAAAAGCCAAAAGGATTCCAGCTGAGGAACTGAGGCTGCAAATGTGCTCATATGGGTTCCACATTTCTGCTATGTAGCTCGGGGCCAGACCCAAATATGCTTTAAAAATATTCAGCAGAATCCTAAAATCATTTCTAAAACTTACAGGAATGAATGAACCAATTGGGGTGATTGGGTGCCCTCTGCTAAATCTGCAAACAAGCCTATTGGTATTCTTATGGACTGTCATTGGATTCTATAGAGTGACCTTTCTGTATTTCAGAAGAGACAAGTCTTGAGAAAATAACTTTTTCCACTGTGGTTTTTAAGTTAAAGAAATTTAAGAACATTGGCAAATCATCTAGTTAACAGAGATTGTCAACTTCTTACCACCAGATGTAATACTGGTTATTGATTTGGACATGTCCTCACCATTCCTAGTAAATTCTACATGCTTGTGCAATGGTGCACATTTTCACACAGTCTATCCTTGGACACATTCATGAAGTGGTACTCAATTGGACAAACAAAATAGTGGCAAATATAAAGACAAAAATACAGTGGGAACTCAAGACCAGACTCAAGACTGAGTATTAAACAGGAAGTTGCAGATTTTTTTGTGTATTCCTAATACAGCTATTAGGTATAGGGTTAGGGTTTTAAGACACTACTTGACCATTTAACATGCATTTGTAATGCTTATGATGATATTATCCTCAGTGTTTCCCTACAATTCCATACCTCTGTCTTGTTTTTGTGTTGGTTTCACTTCCTGTTTTATATTGATAATCACTTTTTCTTGTGGATCTATTGGACTTTTACTTGGGTTTGTTCACTTCTTAATTCCCTGTGTCTACCCTATATGTATTCCTGGCTGTTGCTCAGATAGTAAAGCGGGTCATCTACAAATCAGATGTTCAGTAGACTGATCCCCAGCTCCTGTGGACCACATGATAAAGTATCCTTGGTCCATGGATACAGTAGAGTTGAGTTGCTCAGAGTTGCCTCTGATGCAACCACTCCAGTATTAGTGTGCATGTGAATATTAGAAAATGCTTAGGCATAGGTCTGTATGAAGGTTTTTGTGCATGAGTGAATGAGACTTCTAGTAAGAAAGCACTTTTAGTGCTCAGTTGAGTAGAAAAGCGCTTTTCGACGCTAGTGCATTTGCCATTTACCCTTTCTCCTTTGTCCATTAACCGTGCTCATATTTTCTGGTTCACTCGTCTTGCTTGTTTCAGATCCCTGTTTTGTGCTTTCTTTGTTT